GGACTAAATTTTGATATAGTGCCGGGGAATTGATATACCTCTGAGGAAGCACTGTGAAAGTGTACTGTTGGCCTTGCCAGCTGAAGGCAAGCTGCTTCTGATGGTCCTTTGAAATTGGTCCTGAGAAAAAGGCATTGGCCAGATCAATAGCTGCATACCAAGTACCAGGTGATGTGCTAATTTGCTCAAGCAATGAAACCACATCAGGAACAGCAGCTGCAATTGGAGTCACCACCTGATTAAGTTCACGATAATCTACTGTCATTCTCCAAGATCCATCTGTTTTTTTGCACAGGAATTAAATGTGGATGTGGTGGGAATCACCACCCCTGCATCCTTCAAGTCCTTGATGGTGGCAGTAATCTCTGCAACCCATCTAGGGATGTGGTAATGCTTTTGGTTTACTATTTTTGTAGATAGAGGCAGTTCTAATGGCTTCTACTTGGCTTTCCCTACCATAATAGCCCTTAGTCCACATGTCAGAGACCCAGTGTGGGAATCTGCCCATTGCTCAGTATATCTGTTCCAATTATACATTCTGGAACTACTGAAATCACTACAAGATGGGTTCAAGGACCCACTGGACCCAATGTGAGATGCACCTTAGCTAAGACTCCATCAATAACTTGACCATTTACCCACACTCTGACGGGTGGGCCACAATGATGCTTTGGGTCTCCTGGAATTAGTGTCAGTTCAGAGCCAGTGTCCAGCCCTGATAACTCTGATTGTTTCCTTTTCCCCAATGAAGAGTCACTCTCATAAAAGGGCTCAGAGCCCTTTGGGGAAGGCTGGGAGAAAGAATAACATTATAAATTTTTGGCAATGTCTTGGGTCCTTTCTCGAAGGGACCCAGGCTCCCCTTCATTAAAGGGGTAGTGGGTCTGTAAACTGACTCAAGTCTGGGAATTGATTGAGAGGTCATGACTCTGTATTCTGGCAATTCAATCTAGGCTGCTGTTCACGTGACCTAGAATTATTCTGTTTATACAGATCAAGTAAATATTTAGTAGATTTGCCATCTATTTCACTACTAGGAACACCATGAGCAAGTAGCCAATGCCATAATTCCACATGAGTCAGAGTATTCTGATTACCGTTCTGACTCTGCTGTCCATTATGGTAACCACGCCCACCTTGCCTTTGTCAATTAACTGCTGCCACTTGGCCCCTACTACTGCTATGGGGTCCAATCAGCCCCATCGTAGTTAAGTATCTTAGTTCAGTTAGGGCAGTTCCCACTGTCAAATCTGGCTTACATAAAATAGCAATCACAGCAGTCTTCAAGGATGCTGGGACTCCCTTCACAAATTTATTCGTCACCGTACTGGTGAAAGGCGTGTCTTCTCGACTCTCCATTTCTGGCTCTAGTGGTCTAATCTGATAAATCCTTCTAACAGGCCAATTTCCCTAAGCCTCTGGATACCTTCTTCTACATTATACCAAGGCAGGTCTGACACTTCAAATTGACTTAAAGTAGGCCACCGCATAATCCATGCTTCAGTAAGCCAACCAAATAAGTTATTAGATGTTTTCCTAACCTCTTGAGCTGAAATCACTGAGTGAAGAATCCATACTTAGTGGGCCTAAATCAATAAACTCAGACTGATCCAATGTTACATTCCTTGAACCATTATCCCACACCTTCAGTGGCCATTCCCATACATATTCTCCAGGTTTCTGTCTATACATGTTAGCAAAATCAAGTAGGTCTTTTCAGGTGTAGCATATCACCTCCTCAGTCACACTTCCTATTTCACCTTTTGGGGCTCACTTGTACTTAACTTTAGTTTAGGTCTAGCAGCAACAATCGGTGGTTGGGGAAGTTCCTAAGAACATTCAGGAATGTCTTCCATGGCCTCTGCCTCAGGCAATGTCCCAGCAGGAACAGTTGGGTTAATCCCATCAAACTGAGGTGGAGGGGATAATGGTTTTACAGTAATCCCTTCAGATAGGAGGAATTCAACAGAATTTTCAGGCTCCCATGTATCCTGATCTTCCTAACTATCTGTCCATATGTTCCCATTCCAGGTTTCAGGATTCCATTTTTTTCCCAATCAATGCCCTCACTTTAACTTCAGACACCATTCTGGGTTGGCAATTTAATTGGTGTTGTAACTAGGCCACCCTTACAATAAGACTCTGGGTTTGGTTTTCAGCAGTATCAGCTCTGTTTCTTTCAGAGCGCAACTGGAAACATTGAGGTCTTTTATGCAGCACTTAAGCTGTGACTCAGCAGCCCTGAACTCATCTCGCTCTTTCACCACTTTGTCTAGTGTAAGTAGGACCAACCAACCAGCTTCCTTATACTCCTCATGCTGACAAAATTGTAGAAAAGTATCAAATATGCAATCACCCAGAGACTCACTTCTCAAAAGTATTTGATCTACTGGTAGTGCTATTTTAAACATTAATGTTGCCACCTCACACCACAGATTAGCAGGGCCCTCTTCACTAACAGAGGCATGGTCATCAGTGCCTTTACAATTAATCAAATTGGAAAAACAATTTAGGATGCCCATCCCTATGATTTTGTCTCTCTAGAACCATTCCTGGTACCAAATGTATACCAAAAGAAAGAGAAATTTATCTTAGGAAAATGGCTCACACACTTATAGAAGTTGGCAAGCCCCAAGTTCTTGGATCAAATGTCAAGCTGGAGATTTTTCCCAACTTATGCAGCTACAGGGCTTAATGAGCTCAAGGTTGGCAGGCAGTACCAACTGTTGACTCTAGCAAATGATGAATCCAAGATCTCTAGGCCGAATGGTGAATTGTTTGCTCACAGACAGTTGTAGGCAGCACAACAGGATCCCGATCCACAGAAGAGTGTCTCTTTTCCCAGGATATCCATAAATATACTGGAAACAGGCCACACCCCTAGGGAAACTTCCTTTCAATGGATTGGCTGCTCAAAACATATACATCTGATCCCATGATGGAAACAACCCACATCACAGTTGCTTAAACCACACAGAACTGTGGTCCAGCCAAGTTGACACACAGCTCCAACTATCACAGTGTGGAAGTTAAGTTTGTGTGTCAGCTTGGCTTGGCCTAGTTGAGTGGCTGGGCAGCTGAATGTCGTATTCCCCATGATGAGACTGGTAATCAACTCCATGGTGGAATCTACTCTGAGCAGCTGAGTAGCTGTTTTGAGTATGTGGTCTGCTTCCTATATATATAAGAAACAGCTTTGGAAATTGTCTCTAGTTTATGGCACGCTTAAATCCTGCATGTAGCCATGTCATTGTTCAGCAGCCTGCCATGCTCTGCCAACCTTGGGACTTTCAATGGACTTGAATTAATGCCCTGGCATGTGGTTTGTTAACATTGGGACTGTGTCTTTTTACTTGTCAACCTTGGGCTTGTCAGCCTCAGCAGTCAGCAGCTGAGTGAAGAAAAGTCTCCAGCTTCAGTGGGCCAGGAGCAAGAGGCAGAGCTGAAGCCCAAGGTTATGGGGCTTTCACCCAGCCCCTCAAAGACCCTGGACTTTGAACTCGGACTTAAAGCCTCCAAACTATAAGAGAATAAACTCATGTTTCTTAAGCCCTCCCATTTGTGGTATATTCTTGTCAGAGTGGTATTAGGTAACCAGAACACTTAGCTTGTAGATGCATCTCTCCCAATTTCTGCCTTCACATGGCCATCTTCTCTCTGTGTCTCTTCTCCTTTTTTGTAAATACATCACTCATATCTCATTAGGATTTACCCCATTCCAGTCTGACCTCATGTTAACTTTAATGATAACATCTTCAAAGACACTGTTCCCAAACAAGTTCATGTTCACAAGTACTGGGAGTTAGAACATCAACATATTTTTGGGGGGCCACAAATCTACCCATAACAGGCACTAAGTCAAGAACAGTAGTCAGGGGGACCTTTCAGAGTTGACATTTCAGCCGAGATCTGAGGGACAAGATGGAGACTTTGGCCATAATTTTACAGCACACGTAAATGCAGCTCTTCCTGGGGCTGCTTATGGAACAACCCTCCATAAGAGTATGTTGTTGTTGAGTCAATTCCAATTCATAGTGACCCCATGTGGCAGAGTAGAACTTTCCTATAGCGTTTTCTAGGCTGTGATCTTAATGGAAGCAGATCATCAGGTCTTTCTCCCATGGAGTCAATGAGTGGGTTCCAGTTACCAACCTTTTGGTTAGCAGCTGGGCACTGAACTGTTTCACCACCAGGGCTCCTACTATGAAAGCATAGGGTCTGCCATTTAGGTCCAATTCAGCAAAGGGATATTGTGAGGTCAGGGCACATGTAGCAGATTACTGTATTTATTGAATGTCTTATATACAAGACCTCCTGGTGGTCTAAGTAAATTCCAGGAGAGAAGTTGGAGTGCTAGAGGACTGACCCAATGGAGCCTTAGCATCTGTCTTTATTGTTTCAAGTTTCTCGTTTCTCTCTAGGCTTTTGATAGGAGTCACATTACAAGTAGCTGGAGAATTTGTTCATCAAGGACAGATTATCACTGCTATCCAGACTTTTGTTTCCTTCCTTCTCTGAATGAACCAAGAATATTTCTAGTGTTGTCATTACTCAGGTGCCCCACCTCCCATTGGAAGATCTAGTTTGGGGCTGTGTAATCAGGTAAAAAGAAACTAGCTTAGAAACCTGGATTCCTTGTTTCTAGCAACAGTCTCCAAGGTTCTCTCTGGCAGAAGCAATACAACAAAATTAATTTTGATTGGGCAATCTGGCTCCTCACCCCAACCAACTGCATTGGGCAATCTACTTCTGTATTGATACTGCCTCAGAAACCCAAGGAGGGGCATTATGAGTCAGGTCCGACTCAATGGCACATAACAACAACAACAACAAATTTGCCTTACTATTCACTTCAATATAGTGGCAACAATAATCTTTATCCTGCCTCTCTCCTAGGAACTTTATGAGGATGAAATAAAACAATACTTGGGAAAAGGACTTTAAAATATAATGTTGTTATGAGGATAAAGGACTTTTGTTGATATACTATATTTCCCCAGGTTAGAAAAACCCTGGATGCCACCATGCAGACCTTACAGGACATGCTAACAGTGGAGGATTTTGATGTCTCTGATGCTTTCCAACATAGTCGATCTACAGAGTCTATAAAGTCAGCTGCCTCTGAGACCTACATGAGCAAGATCAACATTGCCAAAAGGAGAGCCAACCAACAGGAGACAGAGATGTTTTATTTTACAGTAAGTGGGATCTTGGACCCAAACCCACTGTCTGCTGACCCACTGGCAGTGACTTCTGGGGAGAACTCCAAACAAGTGGGAATCAATGAAACCACATGGGTCAATTAGACCTAAAACTCTTCCAACATGCTTTTAAATGAAATTGCCTGATTTGTTTTTCTGAAATGCAGAATATGAATTATCAAGCAAAGTATTAGCATTGACCTTGGGTGAATGGTTTTTGCAACTTTCCTGCTCTGGAAATAACCAGAGAGAAAGTTGTATTCAGTAGGATGAGGGGAAAATGGCCATGGTAGCAAAGTGCAAGCCCCAAGAAACAATTCTAAAGTTATATGAATGGATTGTGATGCTGAATTGTCTTAAATTTGGGTATGGGCTTTGAAAATAATGTCCTCATTAGGCCAAGCAAATTGGTCTTGAGTTGCCAGCCCTTCATGTGAGGTCCCAGATAATTTAATCTCATTTGGTCAGGAGCAAGGAGGAGCAAGAAAAAAGGGAATTGGGGCTTTAGTTCAGCATGTGTTTGCTGAACACAGAATTTTAGAGTTGTAAGGGACCTTAAGGAGCTCTGGTAGCATAGTGCCTAAGTCACTTGACTGCTAACCAGAAGGCTGGTGTTTCAAACCCACCAGCCACTCCTCGGAATGAAGGTTGGGCAATCTATTTCCATAGTGACACTGCCTTGGCAACCCAAGGACGGGTCGCTATGAGTCAGGGCCGACTCAATGGCACACAACAACAACAAGGGACCTTAAAGCACATCAGTCCAAACCTTCCATCTGATACTTGATTCTATTCTGCCATGTCCCCACCAAATGATCATCCAGACTCTACTTAAATGCCCTCAGGATTGAAAGCTCTCTCCTTCCCAAAGCAGCCCTTTTATCTGGATGGTAGCTGGCTTTGAATATTATAACCTTCCATCTCATTTTGTTATCTTAAAAAATATGCCCCACTAAAGATTCTGACAATGGATCTCAATTCTGTTCTCTAGGGCTACCCAGAGCAAGGCTAATGCTACGTGACAGCCTCTCCTAATGCAGGCAGCTGGATTTTCATTTCTCCAGGCTAAACATATCCAATTCTTTCAATCCTGCCTCAGAAGTCTTATTTTTGAGTGGCCTCAGTATTTTAGCTATTCTCTCCTGAACGTGTCCAATTTGTGGATGTCTCTGCAAAAGTGAGACTCCCAATAGTGGTCTGGCCAGCACAGAATAGACAAAAATTTTCACTGATTCCATATGAGTTATTGTATTCTTATTCATACATCTTAAAATCATAATCCTTTTTTTTAATTTTTTTTTTTGTCATTTCAAAGCTAGGTTAATATCAGTTAAATCTTTGTTCATTAGACTAGGGCTCCTTTCTCCTAAAGGAATTATAGGCAATTTCTTGAGTAAGTCTTATGTCTACCACCAATTAGATTTCCTCTTGCTGGATTCAGTTCATGGTCCCAGGCTGTCAAGATGCTGATCCAGATGTTCAACATATATGCTGCCTCTTCAAACCTTGTGTCATACACAGATTTAGTGGGCATGGCATCCACATCTTAAAAATCCACTAATAGATAGGTCAGGGCCAAAGCCAAAGATAGAGTTGTTTAAAACATGTCACTGTGCTGATGTTGATCTACTAATTAGCACCTTTTGATTGTGGTCATCTAACCAGTCCCACCATGGACTTACCTAGGGACCTTGGGCAAATCACTTCCCGTGCCAAGCCTCGCTGATCTCCTCTGTAAAAAGAGCAAAATCATCTCACCTAATGAACTTTGGGTGATTTCAATGGGAAAGTCTCTTGGGGACCTGAAAAGCCCTTCCTTCTTTAGTGCAAAACCAGACAAAAGAAGGCTTGATCCTAGGCTTCTCTCTGGCAGACTTGATAAAGCTCTCCAGGCTCAGCTCTTTAGCTTCGAGTTGGTTCCTATCTTTATTACTCTTGGCCCAAAAGCACAGCGAGCTTTGACTACTGAAGAAGCCTTTTGCTTCATGCTGCTGCAGGCCTTACCTGACAAAAGCAGCTTTCACCAGTCCCATTCTCTCTGAGGTTTCTTTGTGTTCCCAAACTGTGACCTGAGATGCCTGGAGCCCACAAAGGGCCAGGCGGCTACTTGGACAAGTCTAAGATTTGGACAGAGAGGAGCACAGGAACAGGTGCAAGGAGTGCTTCTGTGGGTATGTGACCTCCATTGACTTCCTTGTTACCTGGGCCTGCAATCTATACCTTCCTTGTACCTTGTGTCTTACAGAAATTTAAAGAATATGTGAATGGCAGTAACCTCATCACCAAGCTGCAGGCCAAGCATGACCTACTCAAACAGACCTTGGGTGAAGGTGAGTTGGAATAGAAGCCATGAGGTGCAACTGAGGGTTCTATTGGATTTGTGGCAGCCCCTCTAACTGTTTGACGCTTGGAAAAATGGGGTCAACTGGACCCACCTACCAAGATTGGGCAGGCTGGGGAAATAAGCCCTGATACAGATGCTGAAAAGGGTCCAGTCTGGCTCCAGGTAATATGGGGCAACCACAGTCTTAGTTTAGGTTGTAGGAGAGGGTCTAAGGCAGAGTGGCAGAGAGAGGGATCCTTGATAGATGGGGGGTGGGATCCAGGACGTAGGGGTCAACATGGGCTATTTTCACCTATTTGCCAATTCACTGTTGGAGCGCTTAGGTGAGATTCGAGGTCCAAAGAAGGAAGGTCACAGTGTGAGGTAGGGTCTTGTCCTTAAGGGACTTGGGGAATAGGCTTAACAGCACCAAAGACTTACAGTTCCAATTGGAATAAAATCCCAACTGCTTCTCATGGCACAGGAGACCTCACATCATCTGGCCTCTGCCTGCTTTTCCTCGACCACTCTCCCTGCTTTCACCATGCCCTAGCCACACTGAGCTCCTTTCTGTACTTCAGAACTCCTTAAGCTTATTTCTGCCCCAGAGCCTTTGCACTTACTATTACCTCTGGCTGGAATACTTTCCCCTTAGATTTTAACTTTTAGCTGTCAGCATAGATATCACTTCCTCAGAGGAGCCCACCCTGCCACTCAATCTCAAGAAGTCACTACCTCTTTACCAACATTGTTTGATTTTCTTCATCTCACTTACCATGGGAAATCACCTTATTTATTATTTGTTCACTTGCCTATTGTCTTTGGTCACCCCCATCCTCAACAATATCACCTCTTTAATCAGAGTAGGAACTTCCTTCTTATTTCACCCCTACTTTGTCACCAGCACCTGGAACAGTGCCTCACTCACAGCAGACACTCAGTTAACATTAGCTAAATGAATGTTGGGTGGAACAGTCTCCAGCACATGGACTTGGGCAAAGAACCTGAGGCTCACTGGTCAGAACCAGGCCACAAGGTCAGGGCTGGTCTGGTCAAGAACTGCTGGCTCCAGAACCTGGTGTGAGGCTCAGCTGTGAGGAGGGGAGCTCAGCTAGGCCTGATCTAGGATTTCTGAAGCTGCTGGGCCCCAGTTAGAGCACCTTTAGCCCCATATACAACTATAATCTTGTGTTTGTGTGGAGAGGGCTATTGACTAAAGGATGTGCTCCACCAAAAAGAAAGAATGGTCCAGAATATAGGAGACCAACATGAGAGATGAAAGGCCAGTAGATCCCAACATGACAACTTGAAGCAGGCCTAGAGATCACCAGAAGTTTCTTGGCAAAGGAGGAAGGTGACAGGAAGGGAGATATACTGAAATGTGGGAGATTTGTTAGCCATTGGGTATTTAGTGTATAGACACATCCTTGCTCTTTTACTGACTGCTCTCTTCTCTGTGCTGGGTGCACATTCTAGTGGCTAAGCTCTGGCCATGTGAGTTGTCCTGACATCTGTGGATACATGGGGTTTGTGAGCTCCATGCTCTAGAAGATACAGTGAGAAATTAAACCCTTTCTCACACCTGAGGAACTTATAATCTATCTGGAAAACAACCATGAATTCATAAAAAGTTAAATAGTGACAGTATTAAGTCACATAGCAGTACAGGATGAATTTGCCAGGTTGAACATAGAGATTCTGAGGGCTGTCATCAGGTGAGGAGGGGATTGCCACAGGACTCAGGAGAGCCGAAGAGGCTTCCAAGGAAGAGTAATAATGAGGGCTTTAAAAATAATAACATCCTTCAATTTTTTTCAATCTACTTTGTTGATGCTTAATTTGTATACAGTAAAACACATCCATTTTATATGTAGAAATGAGTGATTTTTGACAAATGTATAAACCCATGCATGGCCACTACCCAAATCAGGATACAGAACATTTCCATCACTGCTAGAAGTTCACTTGTGCTTTTTTGCAATCCCTCCATTCTCTCTCCCAAGCAACCACTGATCTGATATCTATCACCAAAGACTAGTATAGGAGTCCCAGGTGGTGCAATTTGTTTTACTCTGGTGGCTTGTGTGTCGCTGTGATGCTGGAACCTATGTCACTGGCGTTTCAGATAGAAGCAGGGTCATCCATGGTGGACACATTTCAGCAGAGTTTCCACACTAAGACAGACTGGAAAGAAGGACATGGCCAGGTCCACTTCTGAAAAAACTGACCACTGAAAACCTTATAAATAGCAGTGAAACATTATCTAAAATAGTATGGTAAGATGAGCCCCTCAGGTGGGAAGGCCCTCAAAATACGAGTGGTGAAAATTTGCCTCCTCAAAGTAGAATTGACCTTAACGACATGGATGGAGTAGAGCTTTTGGGACCTTCATTTGCTGATGTGACACAACTCAAAATGAGAAGAAACAGCTGCAAACATCAATTAATAATAGAAATGTGGAATGTATGGAGTATAAATTTAGGAAAATTGAAAGTTGTCAATACTGAAATGGGACATATGAAGCATTAGTGAGCTGAAATGGACTGGTATTGGCCATTTGGAATCAGACCATCATATGGTATTCTATGCCAGGAATGACAAACTAAAGAGCAGTGACATCACATTCACCATCAAAAAGAACATTTCAAGATCTATCCTGAAGTACAATGCTGTCAGATATCGGATAGTATACATACACCTACAAGGAAGACAGTTAACACTTGTTGTTGTTGTTGTTATGTGCCGTAGAGTCAGTCCTGACTCATGGCGACCCCTCCTTGGATTTCTGAGGCAGTATCACTACGGAAGTAGGATTGCCCAACCTTCTACTATTATTCAAATTTACTCACCAACTACTAAAGCCAAAGATGAAGAATTTGAAGATTTTTACAGACTTCTACGGTCTGAAATTGACCAAACATGCGATCAAGATGTAGTAGTAATTACTGCTGATTGGAATGCAAAAGTTGAAAATGAAGAAGCATTAAGTAGTTACAAAATTTGGCCTTGGTGATATGATGCCAGAGATCCCATGATAGAATTTTGTATGACAAATGACTTATTCATTGCAAATACCTTTTTTAAACAACATAAGAAGCAACAGTACATGTGGACTTCACCAGATAGATTTTACAGGAATCAAATTTACTACATCTGTGGAAAGAGGCCATGGAGAGGCTCAATATCATCCTAGTCAGAATAAGGCCAGGGGGCAACTGTGAAACAGACCATCAATTGCTCATATACAAGTTTAAGTTGAAGCCAATGAAAATTAAAACAGGTCCATGAGAGTCAAAATATGATCTTGAGTATCTCACCTGAATATATAGACCATCTGAAGAGTTGATTTGATGCATTGAACACTAATGACCAAAAACCAGACCAGTTATGGGATAACATCAAACTTGAAGAAAGCAAAAGTCCATTAAAAAAGACAAAAAAAGAAGAGAAGACCAGAATGGATGTCAGAAAAAAACTCTGAAACTTGCTCTTGAACAGAGAGGAGATAAAGTGAATGGTCAAGTAAAAGAGCTGAACAGATTTCAAAGGCAGCTCTAGCAGACAAAATAAAATATTACAATGAAATTTGCAAAGACCTGGAATTGGAAAATCAAAGAAAATGAGCATGCTCAGCATTTCTCAAGCTGAAAGAACTGAAGCCTCAAGCTGCAATACTGAAGGATTCTATAAGCAAAATATTGAACAATGTGGAAAGCATCAAAAGAAGATGGGAGGAGTACACAGAGTTACTGTACCAAAAAGAACTAGCTGACTTCAGCCATTTCAGGAGGTAGCATATGATCAAAGACTGATGATATTGAAGGAAGAAATCCAAGCTGCACTGAAGGAATTGCTCCCCACTCCCCCCCCCCAAAAAAAAAACAACTCCAGGAATTAACAGAATACCAACTGACATGTTTTAACAAATGATGCAGCATAGAGGTGCTTACTCATTTATGCCAAGAAATTTAGAAGACAGTTACCTGAACAACCGATTTGAAGAGATCAATATTTGTGCCCATTTGATAGAAAGGGGATCCAACAGAATGTGGAAATTAACTAATAATATAATTACTATCACATGTAAGTAAAATTTTACAAGATAATTAAAAATGGTTGCAGCAGTATATTGACACGGAACTTTTAGAAATGCAAGTTAGATTCAGAAGAGGACGTGGAATGAGGGATATCAATGCTGATGTCAGATGGATCTTGGCTGAAAGCAAAGAGTAGTAGAAAAATGTTTACCTGTATTTTATTGACTGTGCAAAGGCATTTGACTGTGTGGATCATAACAAACTATGGATAACATTGCAAAAACTGGGAATTCCAGAACACTTAATTGTGCTCATGAAGAACCTGTACACAGACCAAGAGGCTGTCATTCAAACAGAATAAGGGGATACTGCATGGTTTAAAATCAGGAAAGGCATGTGTCAGGGTTATATCCTTTTACCATATTTATTCAATCTGTATGCTGAGCAAATAATCTGAGAAACTGGACTATATGAAGAAGAACATGACATCAGGATTGGAGGAAGACTCATTAACAACTTGCAATATGCAGATGACACAACTTCACTTGCTGAAAATGAAGAAAACTTGAAGCACTTACTGATAAAGATGAAAGATGACAGTCTTCAGTTAGGATTACACCTCAACATAAGCAAACAAAAATCCACACAAGTGGACCAATAAGCAACATCATGATAAATGAAGAAAAGATTGAAGTTGTCAAGGATTTCATTTGACATGGTTCCACAATCAATGGCTATAGAAACATCCGTCAAAAAATCAAGTGATATATTGCATTAGGCACATCTACTGCAAAACACCTCTTTAAAGTGTTTAAGAGCAAAGATATCACTTTGAAGACTAACATACACTTGACCCAAGCCTTGGCATTTTCAGTAGCCTCATATCCATGTGAGAACTGGACAGTTAGTAAGGAAGACTGCAGAAGAATTGATGCATTTAGATTGTGGTGTTGACAAAGAATATTGAATG